TAATTACAACTTTTGGTGTCGCATTTTGTGGACGAACGTTTGCCAGGAGGAATGTGGAGTGAAGACGTGAACTGTGGGAAAATATGATCAGTTTCACTTCACATCAGATTCATAAACACGACAACGAGTATTAGATTTGTAATTTCAGTATGTTTTAGTTAGTTTTATACAAACACAATATAGTTCCAGTTATAGTTTTTCCCATGAATTACTGTTTTTATTTATTTCATTTAGTAAAAAGGTTTTCCCTGTTTCAGTTTGCGTTCCTTCGTTTTTGTGATGCATGTCACAGTTTTTCGCTCAACTTGTTGACTTCATAAAACGCTGTGGAGTTTGTAACCAAATGCAGATGCAGGGGGTTGAAGTCGTTCGTCCAGCTGAAATCCCTCCTCCACTCTCAGGCTGATCAAACCTCTGAGGACGCTGGAGCAGGACGAGGCGGAGAGGCGGCTTTAATTCTCCCTGAAACAAAGGAGCCAGGAATGAGGTGTGCAGAGCCACTTAGAGGCTCTGGGGTAAAAATGGGATTTGTGACCTGCTGCCGCGGCGCGGCGCCCTGATTGACTGTCAAGAAGCCGGGAGGTGAGGGGGGGAAGGGCGGCACGTCTGCTGCTGCCGGTGATGATGGAGACCACCAGGACCTCATTAGCTCCACGTTTCATCAAACATCACAGCAGCAGGGTTGCTCTCACTTCCTCCCCATACCTCTTTCTCCTCTGCCCTTCTTTTCATTTCCTTCCTTTCATCACTTCTTTCTTACCTCTGCCTTCCTCCCAGGTTTCATTAACGACACGGGTCTGCTAATCTTCCCCCACGTCAAAGTCGGGGCATGAAAACGATAATGGCACATCCCCCGTATCGTACATCTGCTGCCGCCATAATCATTTGTTTTTGTTAATGCCAAGGAAATGGAAATTGGTGGAGGTGTAGGAATGTAAATAGCTGCCGGTGGGGTGATATTTCAGGGCACATTAAAAGGCTCCGGCTTGCATATCATTGCTTTTCAGGGTGGAGGTCTGAGCAGAAGCAGGAGAAAAGAAAAACACCCCCAGACATGTGCACTCATGCTAAGCAGAACCTGCGGTAGCCTCAAACATACCAACACAATGTAGAGCAGCTTGACATACATAAATAGGGCCAGGATAATGATTTATGTGCATGCACAGGAGAAAAACAGGCCACACACTTTATGAAAATTTCATGTAAAAACATGCAGCACGGAATCAGAGGGGAAAAGTGGGTGTGAAAAGAGCAAAGCGAGCAAAATGCCAAATTAGATTCAAATTAAAAAATAAACTTCTGATAATAAAACTATTCTAACACAACGACACGTTGATTATAGTAAAACGCTAACAGCTAAAGTAGCAGCGGCTTTATATGACGGAGCTCTAGGGACAAACTAAAATAAATAAATAAAATTAGGATAAAAATAAAGTCATAATATTACAAGATTAAAGTCATTACAATTTTTCTTGAAATATGACTATTTTTATATTATTTATACTTTGTTCTCATCCGACTTTATTGGTGTAATAAACACTCATAACATTCTAACTTTATTCTGGTATAATTTTGACTTTATTCTCGTATTATAACTTAATTCTCTTAATGTGTCTTTATTCTCATGCTAACTTTATTTTTGACGTATTATTACTTTGTTCTCAGTATTTTGTTGATTAATTGTTTATATTTTCCTAAGTGTGGTCCGAATGTGCCATTATAAAACGTGTAAAAACTAAAATAAATCAGAAATTCAAAGGTCGTTCCAGGTAAAGGTTAATTTCCTTTTTGTTTAGGTCAGAATCTAAATGTTCAAACGCAAACAGGAAGATGACAGACGGACTAAAAACCAGCAGCTGCAGCAGTAATCGGGCGGCGCAGACAGAACCACAGGTCCATTAATCAGGTGACTCAACAGGCAGCGAGCGGCTTCAGACCGGCAATCAGCGGAAACTTTCTGCGACGCATCAGAGGGTGTGAAGGACATTTAGTTCCCTGAAACATGAACGATGAAAACTCACTCTGCAGCCGAGACTCTGGGAAAGAAAACGCAAAGACAATACACACACAAAGATGATATTTGGTCTTAAAAACCAAATATTTGGTTTTAAAGACGATGATAACCACTTTAACACAGGAGTCCGTTTACGTGTTGTTAGGTAATGTAATTAAGGATTAGCATGTTGCAGGTTTAAAGAAAAAACAGGAAATTTACAAGCTGAACAAGACATGGAATAGTGAAAGAAAATAAAAAAAAAGAATCTAAAAAACCAGGAGCTCAAATACTGAAGCAAATGAGAAAGGAGTTAAAATCAGAGCAGATGTGGAACAGCTGCTGCAGAACAGAGGGAGGCAAACTGAGGGAAATAACTCAAAACTAATTATTAAAATTATCTGCAAACCGAGAGGAAAAGGCTAAAGCAGATCTAGAAGAAATAAATGTACAAAGAACAGAAAACAAGAATAAACTTAACACAAAGAAATGACCTTGTATGGCAACACATTACGAACAATAATAAACACAGAAAAATCAGCTGAATCCTATGAAAAAATGGAATTACAAGAATAAAAAGTCATGGTATTACCAAATAAAGCCGTAATATTAATTATAAATTCATGTTTTTTTTTATTTTTAAAGTGTGGCCGTAATTGCACTGCTCTACTGTTGGACATAAAAGAACAAGAAGGAAATTATCAAAAGACAAACAGTTGCAGTGAATATTCTCAGATGCGCTAACCGTCCGTCAGTATTGTCATCCGGTTGTTGATCATGTGACTCGTGTGATGCGAAAAATGTGTATTTTGCCACATACAATAATTTTAATAAACGCTGAAAAGCCTCCTCATCCTATTGCAAAAACATTTCAATATAATAACTATGGGTGCAATGTCAATCTCACAGCAGGACGTCTTGGGTGCAGAATGTCGTAGATTATGACGTTTTAAATGCCAGGCATTCACACGCTGTTGGTAAAATACAACTTTAGCCAATGGAAAAGACTTTCGCCTCCGTTATTTTCCATAAATATTACAGATTTAGTGATAAAAAAGCCAAAGTAAATGGAAATGATGGAAAAATGTTTGTTCTGCTCAACAATCATCGAAGGATTCAACAATAATATCATGAATCCATGCTTTGCTATTGTTCAGCTGTGATTTATTAAAGCTTTGGAAGATGATGACATTAATATAATACAAGCTTAGTGGTCATTATAATGTGTGTAATGTTTTATAAATATTACACACAACATCTGAAAAGAACATTTAAAAATAAACTGCAGCTGAATGTGGTGCACAAATATGCAAAATGTACTTTTATTTGTACTTTTCACTAAATAAATGTTTGTTCCGGTGTTTTTTCTTTATTCAGACTGTGCCGTCATACGTGTAATAATTTAAATTCAGCAGCGTGACTTTCCTGCGTTGGATGTTTCCTGTGTTGAAAACTGCTCTCTTCATATTTAAATCAGCACCGGGATGAGAGGGTTTTGGGGTAAACACACACATTCCTCCTGTGTGTGTGAAAGGCAGCGCGATTTAAGGTGAATCCTCTTTAAGACCCCGGGGCCTCCACCACTCGCAAAGCAATATGACAAGCTACATATGCCCTGGAGGCTGTGTCGCTATCTGTTTGTCAACAAAGCATTCCTGCTTCAAACCGCAGCGAGGCAATTCGCCAAAGTTCTCCAAAGTGTTGTTTTTTGGGGTTTTTTATCTGCGTTCCTCACAAACTCACATGTTTAACTTACACAAAAACCAGTAAAATGGGTGGATTTTTATTTGAATGTAGAGAAAAAACTAAATAAAAACCCAATTTCTTTGATTCATTGTTGCCGTCAAGTTTGAATACCGTATGGAAGTTTGTTTATTGTTCTGATTAAGGTAAATTGAAATTTTCCGGATCATGTTGGACCTCGCTGCATGCAGAAAACTTACAGTGCAGTTTTAAAAAAGCTAAACTTTAGAGATTGAAAGCGGCTCATATGTCGAGACTTTTGCTATGAAAAAGCCCAAATGAACCAGAACCAGAGAACAGCGCAGAACTGCTGGTCCCAGCTCTACGACGACTGTTTTAAGGAATCTTATCCATAAATTTATTTGCAGAGTAAACAAGTCCGATAATGGAGTCATTACAGATGACATATTATACAAAACTTACATTCTGGATGTTTTTATATTTTTATTTGGGTCTCAACTGCTTCTAAAAACAGTCAAAGCGCTTAAAAAAACTATCCAGCTTGTTTTTGGCAGTAACTTAATGGTTTTTTGGAAAATTAACCATTTCAAAAACCTTCCAAAGGTGATGTCACAAATCAGAAGGAACTGCACCGTTACCTAGCAACCCCAGCAAAGCCCACCCCGTTACCTAGCAACCCCAGCAAAGCCCAGCTGGTCTCCAGCTCCTATGGTCAGCTGGTTTAATCGCTGTTTTGTTGTTGCTTTACCATCCAGAAACCACTTGCTGTGTTGTTGTTGGTTGTGCAGAAGGCTCTACTTCTGCTTTTCAAAGATTCTACGGTTGTAGAACTGTGCCATCATACGTGTAATAATTTAAATTCAGCAGCGTGACTTTCCTGTGTTGGATGCTTTCTGTGTTGAAAACTGCTCTAATGTCATGGCTGTTTGCAACCATTTTTATGTGAATGTGTAAACGTTGAGTTGGGGTGGGTGTGGCCAGCAGCAGCTTATTTGGATTTAAAGCTGATTATTTAAGAATGATTTTATGTAAAACAAAATGTAACAAACTTATAGCCTTCTTATAGCCCATAAACTCATCCTAACCTTTTGAAGGATGGATAAAATCCCACTTTTGACCATATTGCTGTAAGATATGTATGTAAACATTGGTATGACTGCCTCCTAAAGGGTTGGGCGTCTTTTTCTTGTTTTTTTTAGGTATTGTTATCTTTCTTTTATTACTGATTGTTCTTTTATGTGATTTGTACTATGAGTCTGTGATAAAACCTGCCGTTGTATTTAATTACTCTTCTTTCCTGCAGCCTCTCAGGATGCACTGCCACACCTGCTCCCTGATCACCAGCTCCGGCCATCTCATCGGCGGACGCCGGGGAAAGGAGATCGACCGGGCCGAGTGCGTCATCCGCATGAACGACGCCCCCACCGCCGGCGCGTTCGGCCAGGACGTCGGCCGCCGCACCTCCCTGCGAGTCATCGCCCACTCCAGCATGCAGCGGGTGCTGCGCAGCCGCCACGAGCTGCTGAACGCCAGCCAGGACACGGTGTTCATCTTCTGGGGCCCCAGCAGCTACATGAGGCGGGACGGGAAGGGCCTGGTGTACAACAACCTGCGGCTGATGAACCAGGTGCTGCCCAAGCTCAAGGTCTACATCATCTCCTGGCAGAAGATGCTGCAGTTTGACGAGCTGTTCAAGAAGGAGACGGGGAAGGACAGGTGAGTCTTCCACCGCAGCCGGTTCTGGTGTGACGTCACGCTTCTGTGAACTTTGTATCTGGCAGCCATCTTGGCATCTTGTTCATTGTTGCTATGACAACAATAAATAGGCCACAAGCCTGGAACTGCCTCGTTCCTGTCCAACTTAAAAATAATAACTTATTTATTATAAATAATAAACTGTCTAAAAGCGTCGACATTTTCAGATTAATCACATTTTTTAGAAAAAAAATTATAATTTTTGACTTTCAAAAGTAAAAAATGTTCAACTTTGCAAAACAAAAACAAAACTGCACAAAACTAAATACATTCTGCATTTAAGATGGAAAAAACCTTCTGTTTGTAAATGTGTCACCCAAAACTCCTCAAGTGGCAGCTTTACTTTACCTGGTTCAAAGTCTGAAACCTTTAAGAATCTTTTGCTGTCAAATTATTCATCAGGTTGTAGAAAAAAATAATAGCAGATCTGATGTTACATAAAGAGAAAAGTCTTTGCTTTTCACCTGCTGATGTTAGAAATATCTTTAGCTGCAGATGATCAAGCATTCACTAAAGAAATGCTGTTGTTTCATTATAGATATTATCTTTTAAATAACCTATTGAATTATTTGTTTGCATTTCTTAATGTATTTATAATATTGCATGAAAATCTTAAATGTGCACATGAAAAATCTACAGGATGTAAAGTTTTTTTTTTAATCCAATTAATCATCACAATAATTGATTACTAAAATAATTGTTAGCAGCAGCAGCACTAATTGTAAAGAACGGAAATACTTATCTTCATTCAGCCAGCTGACTGGCAGTGCACAGCAGCAGTTTGGCCGCAGATAAAACCAGAGAAATGTCCGTTCACTCCATAATGTCTGTAGAATCTCAACAGAGAGATTTTAAATCTGCTTGTTGTCCAAACTAAAAATGTTCCCGTCTACAGTTCAAATAAAGTTGTAATGAATTGATATGACTTTGTTTTTCTCCTAATAAGTTAAATTTGCTTGTAAAAGTAGATGGAGCAGCTTTGCTTGGTGTAATTAAGCCTTGTCCCGATGGCGCTTAATTGATATAGCAATTAAAGCGCTGGATGGGAGGAGCGAATGATTTGGCTTTTTATATGCAAAGTGACGAAGTTGTTTCCTTGCAGCCAGAAGCTCCTCAGTTTTAATCTGCCTTTAGGAGTGAGTGTGTGTGCTTTGTTGTTTAAATGACCTCCAGGTAAACAAGTGACAGTCTAGAACTTTAAAAAACACCTTTTGTGTTCCTAAACTAAAATTATTTTAAGATTTTTTAATAATACAGGGTCGGCCATAAGTTTCCATACATAGGAGGATATAAAATGTATATTTATTTCATATTTAAGATGAGTTTGACAAAAGAGCAAAGAATTTAAATTGTACTGATGGCTGGATCGGGAAGCAGCTGCATGGTTGCACGAAACTTTAACAGAAAACATGGAGCGAGTTTCACACATGACGCTGCGGCAAAACTTATTTCAGACCAAGACGGGCAGCGATTTTACACCGAGAATAAAAACGGCTGTCCAATGTAAAGTGTTTATTTTTAAAACTCGTGGCCCACCCCGTATAACTTTAGTCACATACATTAGAGCATTTGGATCCTCAACATCTGGACGAGATTTCAGACGATTAAGTTCTGTTGTAATTTGGGTTTTTACAGTGAGAACTGCAGACAGCGCTGGGCGTTTATCGTGAAAATTTAGATTTTCATCCTGATAATGACATTAAAAAAATGAACTGACATACGAAATGTTGCTGTAAACCATCACTTAATGTCAGTAGATTTGAAAAAAAAAAAAAAAAAGGATTTTAAATGTTTTTCAAAAGCAGTATTTGTGTTTACTGTGCCATTCATTAACAGTCACCTAAAAAATAAGCAATAAATAGATTTTGTCATTATTTCCATCATCACCATAACAGAACCACCAAACACTGTGATAGTTATAGGTCCATATCGCTCAGCCCGGCGGTTTCTCTGGGTTTTAATCAGCCTAAGTTTGTCTCGTGATTCCACATTAATGAAATCTCAGCTGAACGTATCAATGTGCTTCTCTGCCATGGATCGTCCTAAATGTTACACACTTTTATAACTCTAATGCCATCATTTACGCCGGCGCCCGCTGAGGAAGCTGCTGGTGCTGTGACCTGACTTAATCCTTCTGCAAACACTTATTTATCCAACTATAAGCTTCAGGGATTACGCCGTTGAATATGATCCAAATAGTCTCTTTTTTTTCTCCCTTTGGACTTCACGCTGGAGACCCGGAGAGCTTCAGTGACGGCTCGTTTTTCTGCAACACATTTAGATGCAATCTGGAAAGAGAAGTTAGAAGTATTAACGTATGATGCTAATTAACAAGCTGAAGGATAGTCGTTGACATAAATCACTTTGTCACATGTCGAGTCAAAAGGACTCAGGGGCCAAGAAGAAAAGAGACAAAAGCAAATAATTTTTTTGCTACAGAAAACGTTAACTACAACACAAAGTATTTATATTTTTACAACAAACCTTTTATAATAAGTAAAAACTCGTTTGTCCAAATATTTTTTACTCCAGTAGCGACTTTGGGTCCTAAATCTGATGAAGAATCTCTGACAGAAGCGACTGATTAGGGTGATGGCCAGGAGGCCTTGCAACCTAAACATACTCTTCTCAAAACACGTCAAGAAATGTAGAAAACAAAATATTTTCCCCATTTTACAAGTAGAAAAAAATCTGCCAATATTCAAATTTACAAATTCAGATTTGGATAGTAACTAGTTACATTTACTTGAGTAACTTGTTCTGAACAAATTTACTTTTAGGAGTATTTTTACTACGCTGTACTTTCATTATGAAGTATTTCTTCTCTGACTTTAGTGAAATTTCTGGATTTTCTTCCTGCTGAATGGAAAACAAAATCGTTTTAACCAAACTTCCACCAGACACAGACACACCTGCAGTTTTCTGAATCTAAGAACAAATTTAACACAAACTCTGATTTCTTGATGAAAAGTTACTTGTAAGTTAGTTTTGTCTTTGTTCCAGATTTATGCTGCATAGAAGCTGAATGCTGCTCCTCCCTGTTTGGTTCTGGTTCTGGGGATGCAGAGCAGAACCAGAACCAGACGACCTGAGAGGTTCTGGAAGGTTGCTATGACAACAGCAGATCTTTAATGTGTTGTGGTGCTGAACAGTTCAGTGATTTATAAACTAGCAGCAGTATTTTAAGGTCTATCCTCTGAGCTACAGGGAGCCAGACGGTAGAACTGGAGTGATGAGCTCTAACTTCCTGGTTTTAGTCAGAACTCCAGCAGCAGCGTTCTGGTGAAGACGCTGCTGCTGTAATTAATGCGACTAAAGATGAACACATGGATGAGTTTCTCTAGAACTTGCTGCAACATTCGTCCTCTAATCGTGGAAATGTTCTTCAGGTCGACTTTGTTTATCTTTAGAAATAATGCCACAACAACTTATTGCATTTTCTAGTCAAGGTTGGTGAGAAAAATTTGATTTCAGGTAGAGATGCACCGATTGCAATTACTGTTTTTTTTTTTTTTAAACCTGACCTGCCGATTCCCATTTTGGTCAATACCAATTTTTTTTGGTCTGAAACTGCGAATGTTCAAACATGACCTGGTGATCCGCTCCGGCAGTCAGACCTGCGGAAGAGGACAATGTCTGATTATCTTTGCTGAGGCAGATAGGATCAGCTTCACATGCAAGTATCGATCAATCTCCTCTAATTTCTTGTGAAGTAAGCTCATCTTCCCTGGGGGATTTTTTTTTTTTTTTTTTTTTCTTTGCACCTGCTTTTGTTGAGGGTTGCAGTCGAGTGGTAAAAAAATGAATGCAAGTCACGCAAAAGAAACGGTGTAATGTCTGCCCAGTTTCTGCGACGCTTTATTTAAAGCTGAAAAGGCATTAAAGGTCTCCGATTTAATGAGTCCAAGCTGAGTTCTTTGTCTGGTGGCCATTAATGCTTAATGAATCCCCAACCGTACACACAGGCTGTGTTAGTCTCTTCCTGTCTTTATCCCAGCTTTTGTCTGGAGTATCATTGGAGATTGGATCTGAATTGGGCTTAAGGCAGATGCCAGGGGAGGAACATGCCAAGCGGAGGATTTAGAGACTGATTCAGACATCCATCCCTTAGAATCTGTGCCTGCAATTATTGGAGCAGCTTACAGTGAGAAGGCAGCTTGTGTTACTGTTATTTACTGTGCCGACTCTTCGTATTTTTAGACTTTAACATCTGTGAGGCTTAGCATTGGTCATCTCTGCTCTGTGGAGTGTTAAATCACCTCTAATGGCTACATTCAGAGGAATCCATTTGTATGCATATATATTTTTTAAAATCCACATTCTAACTTGCTTTACAAAGTGGAAAATGTTCCCATTAAGAGCAGCATCAATAGCAGATTTTGTGAATAATCATCAGAGCGATCAGCAACTCTGCAAGCTTGTAATTGTAATTATTGGTTATGCCTTTTGAGTAAGGGTAATTATAATAATGTGGGACGATGCCACATTCCCCCGGTTCTTATAACAAAGCCGGAGTGGAGCTGAAAAGCAGGTGTCTCTCTGCCGCCTTTGTGCTAAATTGCCAAGACAGAATGAGACTCAACTGGTAATTAAAGGCAAATTAGTTTTTAAAATATGTGCTTTTTTAACTCCCTCCTCTGGTGATTTATGTGGCCATAATGGTTCATAACCAGCAGCACCGATGCGGCGCAGTCCACTGGGGGGAAATGTGCAGGATCTCAGTGTTCAGTCACTCAAAGCATGAGTGGATGATTTTCAGGCAAAACTGAATCCATAAAAATGAAGATGTGGTTTATGAGGAAAGGTTAGAAACACAGACAGCCGTCCACAACAGGCAGAAATGGATGTGTTCAGTATCCAAAGTAAAGGTTTTGTAGCCGTACACTTAAATGTGACCCGTTATTCTTCCTTGAACAGGTTAGGATAAGTCTATGGGCGAAACAAAAGATATTCATTAAAGT